GTGAAGAACAGTCATCCCTGGGTGGAAGGACAGCAGAAGCGATTGCTGAGATGTGAAGAACAGTCATCCCTGGGTGGAAGGACAGCAGAAGCGATTGCTGAGATGGGAAGAACAGTCATCCCTGGGTGGAAGGACAGCAGAAGCGATTGCTGAGATGGGAAGAACAGTCATCCCTGGGTGGAAGGACAGTAGAAGCGATTCGTTTCTTGATGTTCTTTGATGTTTATCATAAGAAAGAAGATATTAAGATTTAATTTATGTGTCTATGCCTGTGTAAGTGAAAGCCACATGCATAGAGGCACCCTCAGAAATTAACTGGAGTTACAGGCAGTTAGGAGCTGCCCGCGTGGGTGCTGAGAACCAAACTCAGGTCCTCTAGAAGAGGAGTAAGTGCTTTTAACTGTTGAGCCATCTCTCTAGCCCTACACAGTAAATATTTTTATAGTCATGGGGGGAAAAAAATCAAGCTTCCTATAGCCAAAGCATGTGCTAGGAGGTACTTCTGAGGTCACTCGGCTTCAGCTCCTCCCAGCCTATCAGGCTCCTGGGACTCGCTCACCTCCGAGGGTCTCCTTCTCCCAGCTTATCAGTTAGAACATAACTGGTCTTTTCACCCTCTTTGGTCAAACCCTGGTAAATAAAAGAAAGGCAGGGACTGAGGACTTTGTAAAATTCAGTGGAAGTGTAAAGCCGAAGGAGGCCAGGCTCTGCCGTCCAGTTGCTCAACCCCAAGTCTTCTCTACCAGGAAAGGCTAGGATAAACTAATCAGGGGCACCTGGTATCGAGCGCCCCGCCTACAGATGACCAGCACACAGTGTAAGTTTGTTAGCAGATGGTCTAATGGGAAGGATCCTTGGCAGGGGTTAGAAAGACTGGAGTGGGCTCTGATGACCTCTCCCGTGAATATATAAAAGGAAATTCCATGGAATGAGCCATATATGGTGATACAGGTCTATAATTCTAGCTACTTGGGAGGTGGATGGGGGAGGATAACAAGGTCAAGGCTACTAGCACAGAAACTCTGCAAGACCCTTTTTCAAATTAAATGGTGGGGGAGGGGTGGATTAACAAAGTAGTAAGAACACCTGTGTCTAGCACTTATGCAGTCCTGGGTTCAGCTAACTAACAAAAAAAAAAAAAAAAAGCTCAAGAAGTTTGAGACAGATTGCTCATCCCTGGTGTTCAATGAGTTGGGTCCCAGATGTTCCCAGGTGTTTAGACAGTGAAGGGAGGAAAGTTGGGTAGGGTCCTGCTTTCTTTTAGGACATTCCCACCCCAGATATTGGAATTTGGAATGGAAGTTGTGTGAACCATAAACGAAACCTCTTGGTTTTTATATCTATACATGGACATAAAGTCCTATCATATAGGATTACAAAGACTAAACCTGGCGTGGCATTTAACACAGTAGCGGTTATATATCTGGTGAATGAGATGCGGAGATACATTACTCATGGGAAGATAATTTAATGTCCTTACTTTTTACTATTCTAGAATGAGCTAAAGTTTCTCCAATAAGTATATATTAAATACAATAAAAATAGCTTATGAAAACTGGGGCTTCATAACATTCAAATGGCAATCCCCTCAGTTCTGAACTCATGAAACCCGTCTGGAGGCCCGGTAATTCAACCGTGGCTTGTGCAAAAACCAGGGCTAGTCTGCGGTTGTGTCTGGGTCTGGGGGTGGGGGTGCCTCACCTGGACAGGTTCCCCATCTCGCCAGACAAGGCTTTCTCCATCACTTTCCCAGCAAAGATGAACTTCCTGGCCCACCCACGCTTCGGGGATGACCAGTTCTACCCGGAACCAGCAGGTCCACCATCTGTAAGAGAGCTATTGTGATGGACCTAGGAGTGGAAACCCTGTTCTGATGTAGTTCCTTGAATTAAATGTCAGCAGGGCCTCAAGATTTTCTCCATGCATCTGCAACATCACAAGCTTTGAGCCACAAGAACAGAGAAATGAGTGGAGAAAAAAAAGCTCACTAAAGGATAAAGATACTTCTCCCAGCAGAGGGCGCTACGCTCTGCCACATAGCACTCTAGGGACCAACACAATGAGGCGTGGCCTTCGGTGGTGAGGACTAAGAGGGGCAGGGCTTCCCCAAACTGGGTGTTACCCACGTGGGTCCGAAGCTGTCGCCGACCTGCGCAGGGCTGAAGTCCTGCTGCACCGCCTCCTCGTAGGGAAGTCTCTCCGGCGTTAGGAAGCTGGAAAGTGTCACCGGGCACCTGTCCCCGAAGAGCCTGGGCGGGAAGAGCCAATGGGCGCGTGCCTGAAGCCGCCCCCTTTCCACACGTGAGCCAGCTGACCGGTCGGAAACGCTCTCTCTCAGCCTAACGCCTTGAGGACTACCTGGCAGCTCAGCAGCACATACCACCCTCTGCTCACTGCTCCCCAGCCCCTGCCTTGTCCGCGGCGGACACTTTCTTCCGCGGCCCGGGGGGCCACAAGCCTGGGTTTCCCTCCGGAAGGGAAGGAAAGAACGCGCGGATGCGGTTTGCAGCCACGCCGAAACAGGAGCCACACCTGCCGCGGAGGTTACAGTCTGTGAAGTAGATCGGGGACACTAACTTCTCCACCCGCTCAAAAGTGGTACGCCAATGCTTCAAAAACGGGGCTACCGCCATGGCGATGCGCCCACTTCTCTCCCCGTAAGACCCTTGGTGCTGCCGTGTCGCTGCACTGCCTGGAACCAAAGGTTCCGCATTCGACCAGCACCTTTCCTGGCCCGAGCAGCATTTCTTGGGACATCAGCAGCTTTTGCAAGATGCTGACTTTGGGGAGCTAGCCTGGTGAAAACCGGAAGCTGCGCCTTCGCGGTTCTCTTCTCATCCCAGCTGTCAAACAGCTGGGTAAATTATCCTTAAATAAAATGGTAAGTTTGAGCTGGTTATGTGGTTCGGTAAGGAGAGTGCTTGCTTAGCATGCACAAAGTCCTGCGTTCGTGGAGGCGGGAGTGTAAATTGAAGGATATCCATGGCGCCATAGGGATTTGAGAACAGCTTGGGCTGTGTAAGACTGAAGAGCGTGGAACCTCGGGAAGGTCCTGAAAAAAAAATTAGGCCCTGATGTGGGATTCCCCAAATCGAGTTAATTTGCTTCCCTGTGGCTTCACTTACGGGAGCACTAATATCCGCTTAATATGAAAAGGGCAAGGCTGCCTCGAGTGTGTGGTCAACCTAATCGGCAGTGTATTAAGAAGAGGGGAAAGGGGCTTTTACATACATTATAACATTACAACATCACTGTTGTCCATCACAAAATGTCTGGAATTTTGACCTGATGCAGCAGGTCAACAAGTGCAAGAAATTTTAATGTCAAAAGCCGACCTCCGGCTTTAACGTTTGCCAGAGTATCTGTAAAACCGCTAGAAGAAAACAGAGGATCAATAGAACTAGCCTGTTTTAATGGAAGTAACTGGGTTTGCATTTCAAATTCAGGTTATTTAGAAAAAACGACCAAGATCTGGGCGTGGTTGGCACACGCTCTTAATCCCAGCACTGGGCAGGGAGCAGGGCAACAGAGGCACACGGATCTCTGAGTTCAAAGTCAGTCTGGTCTACAAAGCGAGTTCCAGGACGGCCAGAAATGTAAAGAGAAGCTGTCTGGGAAAAACAACAACAACAAAAAAAAACAAACAAACCACGACCGTCCAAATGTCATTTAAAGATAACTTTCTGCTTTGTGAAAGATTGACCAAAGTTATCTGTTTTATTGGTCCCAAGAACTTTCTCTCCTGAACTGGACCTAAAATCCTATCCTGACCTGCAGGAAGGTGCTGTACATAGTAAGACTAACCATGGGTATCAACAGGCAAGGCTGCCTCTACCCAGACCCATTTCCTGCCAGGCCACCATGGTCTTGAGGGAGCAGAGCAAGGGGTGAGTTATGGCTGAGGAAATCAGATTCTGTCTTCCTGGCATGCTGTCTCAGCTGTAGTTCTAATGAAAATGTTTTTTTCAGCTGGGCGGTGGTGGCGCACGCCTTTAATCCCAGCACTCGGGAGGCAGAGGCATGCGGATCTCTGTGAGTTCGAGGCCAGCCTGGTCTACAAGAGCTAGTTCCAGAACAGGAACCAAAAGCTATGGAAAAACCCTGTCTCGAAAAATAAAAAAAAAAAAAGCTTTTTCATTAGGCTATCACCTTCAAGAGTGACAAAAACACCTGTATTCTAGAACTTGGGAGCCCTGGCTACACACGCCCTGCGTCAGACAAATAAAAGACGCTCACTTTGTATTTTGAAAATCCAGGAGCCATTTTTTTCCATTATGGCAATGTTGAGAATCTAAAAACCGTTGCTATATTTTATTGGGGGGGGGGGGACTGCTGACGACACAGTCCCTCCTCCTACCATGTGGGGCCCAGGTACCAGGGATTTCTTTAACTGGAAAATAACATGATACCCAATTCTAACTATGAGGGCTAGGAAGTCCAGGCCAATCATATTTGAAGATCCTTAATGTTCATGTTTCAACTTATGTAACTTAAAAAGTGGGGTCTAGATAGATGTGTTAAGGTAGTAACAGCACAGATTAATACATTTATAGTCAAGCCTGACAACCTGAGTTTGATCCCTAGATCTGACTTCAAGTTGTTCTAACTTCCACACACATTCAAGTGTACACACAAAAATAATTTTTTTTAAAAATTTCATTTTTTGAGGCAGGGTCTCTCTGTAGCCCTGGCCATCCTGAAATTATGTATGTAATCCAGGCTGGTCCTGAACAGAGACCTGTTTGCTTCTGCCTCTGAGTGCTAAGATTAAAAGCCTATCGCTACATTTTAAAAATGTTTGATCATTGAAGTTGCTAAGCAAAATACCAATTCATTCCCTTCCAACTTTTTCGAACTTGACATTTACTTCGGCTTGGTATCTTGAGTTGCTGCCTCATTCCCAGTAAGGAAAATTAAAATTCTGAAAGGAAAGTAAAAACAAAAAACCTGGGTGTGCCTGTGTATGAGTGCATTTTGGGAGTCAGCCCACCCCTTCCATCATGGGATCCAGAGATCAAACTCAGGTTATCAGGCTTGTGTGGCAAGCACATTTACCTACGGAGCCATCTTCTGATAGATGCTGATTTGACAAATTCAAGTACCTATTTATTTAAAGCAAAATCTTATTTGTAACCTAAAAAAGAAACTAAAGCCAATCTCTACAGTAGCTCTTTGGTGAGGACAAGGGACTTGGGTTACTTATTTTTTTAAGAACCAAGCTTTATTTACATTTAAAAAAAAAGAAAAAGGGAAAAAAAGAAGAAAAGTTGGAGGGGGAGACAAGTCTTACACAAAAGTACTACAATGGTATCTCCCTTTGGTAAAAAGTGTAATAAACGTCTTGTACATCTCTTTATAGGTACTAAATCTGGAGCCACACAGTACTGTGGTACACAAGAAGCTAGAGCACTTATGCTAGCACATCAAAGCATATTTCCTTTAATAAAAATTGACAGTATGTACATTATTTACAAAAAAAGAGAATCCAGTTAAAATTGTGTGTGTGTGAGTGTGTGTGTATGTGTGTGAGTGGGTAAAGCTGGTGGATGGCACTAGGGTAGACTAGTAAAGAAGCAGGTACAAAACAGTCCCACAGGAGCTAAAAAGGAGGACTGACTGGAATTTGTTGAGGCTGAGAACCAGAAGAGGGAGGAAGGTGGGCTGCAAGGACTCAGAAATGAAATCCACAAGGTATCAATCCCAAAGCCAAACAGCAGATCTGAGATAGAATCTAACAGGGGATCTTAGATGTGCTCAAGTCAGGCATCAAATGCAGTCTCCTTGAGGAGCAGTGACCATCAGTTACAGTCCATCTGTTTTGTAAATGCGCCTCCATCCATCCAAAGAGTAACAGCATCTGGTTGTTCATCTAAAGTCAGGTCACAGAAGTTCTGGTTTGAGCTCTGCTGGTGTGTGCAAGCAAGCTGCCTGTCTCTGTGCTTGCATGGACTTCACTCCCTCTTGGGCAGGCTAGTACCCTTGGGAAAAGTGCCAGTTCCAGCTTTCTAAGGTATCCGTCCACATTCCTTGTGTATATCCTGCTTGGTGCCAGGTTGCACTCGTGGCTTGAAAGGCATCTTCCTTGATTCTTCAGTGTTTGCATACATATGCACACACACAGGTACACCCCTCTGAGCTACCTGCTCTGGCTCTGGAGTTAAGGGCCTTTGAATACTGTGCCGTATTTGACACGATACTTGTTAATGCTCACGAAGTGCAGAGTCTCTGTGTCACAGGTGGTGGTGCAGGGCACCCAGGCCCTCTAGCCCCTCACCCATGAGGCACTTGCTGGTCTCTGCTGCCATTTCATGAGGCACATGCTCCTTGGTCCATTTGCCTACCCAGGCCTGAAATCGCTGATGCAGACGCTTGCTTACACGTTCATGGGACTAAAATCAAAAAGAGAGAAAATATAAAATAGGCAAACAAACCTTTCAAATACAAAAACCAGTTATTTATTTGTTTGTTTGAGACAGAGTCTCACTATGTAGTGCTCCCTGGCCTCAAACTCAAGGTCTGCCTGCCCATGCTTCCTGGGTGTTGGGATTGAAAAATAATGCCACCACCCTGGCTAATTTTATTACTTTATGTGTATAGTGGGCAATTCTGCCTGTATGTATGTGCATTGCCATCTATGTGCCTGGTGTTTGAGAAGTCATAAGAGAGCACTGGATCCCCTGGAACTGGAGGTTACAGACAGTTGTGAGCTGCCATATGGGTGCTGGGAGTTGAACCTGGCTCCTACAGATGAACAGCCATGTTCTTAACCACTGAGCCATCTCTCCAGACCTGCCTGTAGAATGCTGTCTTTAAAACAAAACATAAATAAATAAATAAATAAATAAATAAATAAATAAATAAAGTAAGGTAGGTTGGCAAAATACCTCAGTGGGTAAAGGTACCTGACACTAAGCATAATGGCCTGTACTTTATCCCTGCACCCAAACAGAGGAAATAGACTTCTACAGCTCATCCTATGACTTCCACACTCACATAAACACAAATGAACACGTAAAATAAATGTAAACAAAGGGGTCCCAGTATATTTGAAACAAAATCTGAAGCGTGACCCATTGAGACGAATGTGCCTCGCCTCCCCTCACAACTGCACAATGTCTCCTTTCTCTATAGCTTTCAACCTGACCCCACTGTTTCTATTTTCGTTAATGTGCCAACGCCTTCTCTTCTTCCCAGCCTTGCATCTTACACTTCTGTTGCAAAGAAAACACTTCTCCCTTAATTCTACTACTTGTTATTTAGGTCTCAAGTATCCTGGTCTTGAGAAGCCACAACTGAAATCCCAGATGTCGGTTCCTTTGACTTTTTATTTCCTTCATAATGCACAGAAACACTACACACTTGCTTTAGTATGTGGCTGTACCTGCTGTAATACATGCTACATAAAAAGTGAGACAGCCCTTGAAAACAGGGTCCACACAAACAAAAGATTTATTTATTTATTTATACAGTATCCTGCCTGTAGGCAAGAAGAGGACACCAGATCTCATTATAGGTGGTTGTGAGCCACCATGTGGTTGCTGGGAATTGAACTCAGGACCTCTGGAAGAGCAGTCAGTTCTCCTAACCGCTGAGCCATCTCACCAGCCCTGGACCCTTCTGAAACGGAAACACTGGGAAATGCTTTTTTAGAAAGTAACACCAGGTGTTTAACAAGCTCTTGTAGGTTAAGCTATAGGCAAAACTNTTCATCCTATGACTTCCACACTCACATAAACACAAATGAACATGTAAAATAAATGTAAACAAAGGGGGTCCCAGTATATTTGAAACAAAATCTGAAGCGTGACCCATTGAGACGAATGTGCCTCGCCTCCCCTCCCCTCACAACTGCACAATGTCTCCTTTCTCTACCGCTTTCAACCTGACCCCACTGTTTCTATTTTCGTTAATGTGCCAACGCCTTCCCTTCTTCCCAGCCTTGCATCTTACATTTCTGTTGGCAAAGAAAACACTTCTCCCTTAACTGTACAACTTGTTATTTAAGTCTCAAGTATCCTGGTCTTGAGAAGCCACAACTGAAATCCCAAATGTCGGTTCCTTTGACTTTTTATTTCCTTCAAAATGCACAGAAACACTACACACTTGCTTTAGTTTGTGGCTGTACCTGCTGTAATACATGCTACATAAAAAGTGAGACAGCCCTTGAAAACAGGGTCCACACAAACAAAAGATGAGACACTGAAACGGAAACACTGGGAAATGCTTTTTTAGAAAGTAACACCAGGTGTTTAACAAGCTCTTGTAGGTTAAGCTATAGGCAAAACTTAGAACAA